AGGACTGCTGTAGTAGCATCCTCTGTCGATCGATCTCCTCAACCTCTCGATACCACTCCCATCTCTTCCCAGGTGGATTCCTCTCGAACTTCTCCTGTATGCTGCGAGTGAGACTACCTCTGAAGAGATCAATCACTAGCTCGTTGTCATCTAGGTTGACCTGTCCTTCCAAGTCTCTGAACCGCTCTACATGACGTGTGGCGGCACCAGGAGTATCACTTGTGAGTCTGAGAGCCAACAGCTTGTTGTATGCCTCCATCCTAGCATTGCGTGGGTTGAACTGCTCTGACAGTCGCTCTGTGAAGTAGTGCCAATCATTGAACAACCTTCCTTCTCTAGCTCTATCAATACGGAGCTTGGAGGTCCACCACTCTCTTGCTGTCCCTTCCAGTTGAGCACCCATGTGATTGATCATCCTAGACTGCTCATACACCTGGTTGAACTTAAACCATGCTTCGGCTTCTAGAATGAAGATCTCCATGTCTCGGGGATTGAACTTTGGAAAGGGGGTGGCAATGGGCTTTGACCGGTTAAGCTCTGCCATGATGCTGGTATCCTCCTCGTGGTCCAGGGGGTAAGGGTCCGTCCTAGTCCTGCTGTAGGGGTCCAGCTTAGTCTTGACATATCTTGGCCCAGTAGGTGAAGCATACTTCTCGTAGTTGATGTCCTCCTGCTCATCCAGGTTGAATGAGACTGATCGTCTTGGTCGTGGAGCTGGAGTAGGAGTATGTGGGTCTCCTATCATAGACTCATCTCCTCCTCCTGCTTGGTCTTCTGAGTGAGAGAGGTCCATTGTCTCCTCCCTGCTCAGTTGAGCTCGTTGTAATCGTTCCTCTCGATGACCCTGCCTAGTAAGCTCTAGCTGAGCTTCCAATAGAGTGAGTAGTCTATCGAGCTTATTGTTGAGGTCTGGGTCCGTCATGGTGATCGTGAGGAGCTGCTTGAACGATCCACTCTAATGTCAGGGGTCTCGCGCCTGAAACCCAGGTCGGTCTGTCGAGATACTCGGTGACTATCAAACTGTGTGACAGCTATTGTCTCGAGATACTCGGTGACTATCAAGTTGTGCAGTGACAGCAGGTGGCGTTTGTTGTATATACTATCGTAGGTTTCGGCTGACCTCTGTGGACACTCCGTTCAGGGGTAGCTCGGCACGATCAATATCAATGTTATGATGACACCAAGGTCTGGTGTGGGTGTTGATGATGATGAGGTTGATGGTGTTGGTGATGAGATTGGTGATGTCGATGATAATGAGGTTGATGGTGTTGATGATAAGGTTGGTGGCGTCGATGATAATGAGGTTGATGGTGTTGGTGATAAGGTTGGTGGCGTCAACACGAGTGTCCAGTGTGTTGACTTGATGCTTGAAGTGATCCCCGGACCGCAGTGGACTACTGCCTTCGGTTCTATCTATATCCGGACCGCTAACCTGCTATGGGCGCCTTCGGACGTCAGGTAGTGGTGATACAACACACACACTACGATGAGGAGCAACCTTGATAGATTGCTGCTATGCTGACTGAAACTAATGTATACTTATGCTGAAGTGATAACTAGTTATGGTGAGTAGAGTGGATGGGGATCCACTCGACCTATGGTGATGAGAAAGCATGGTTATATACCTCTTCACAGCATTGCCAGCGATGCTGCTCCTGCTCTCTCTCCAGAGAGTACCTTCTTCATCGAGTACTGCTCAGGGGCCTCTCCTGCTTGGCACCCCTGTGCCTCTTGAGTGGTGTCGACTCCTTCGACACTGCTCCTCCTCCTCATGACCTGTGTCGACTCCTTCGACACTGCTCCTCCTCCTCATGACCTGTGTCGACTCCTTCGACACTGCTCCTCCTCCTCATGACCTGTGTCGACTCCTTCGACACTGCTCCTCCTCCTCATGACCTGTGTCGACTCCTTCAACACTGCTCCTCCTCCTCATGACCTGTGTCGACTCCTTCGACACTGCTCCTCCTCCTCATGACCTGTGTCGACTCCTTCGACACTGCTCCTCCTCCTCATGACCTGTGTCGACTTCCTGTCTCTCGAGCCCCTGAGTGGTAACCATCTGAGCTTGGTCCTCCTCATGGCTGCGCCTGCTCTTTGAGCTTGGTCCTCCTCGTGGCTGTGCCTGGTCCTCCTCGCATATGGGCTCAGTGCTCCTTTGCATGTGAATCCATAGGAGTCCATGGTCTTCATGGAGACTGCACTACGACCATGCTCTCTACTGGTATCGACTAGGTCTTCGATACCTGTGCTCCGTCCATATGAACCAGTGACCCTCCTGCTTCTTGAGCATCCAGGCCCATGACACACAGTTTGTAGCGAACCCATCTGGAGAACATCTTGTGGCTGCTAAGCATGTGTTAAGATACCTGAAAGGGATGATAGGGACTGGCCTCTCAACAAGAACATCAGGCAGTGGACCATTACTCTCAGGATGGGCAGACAGTGATTGGGCAGGATCATGCAACTGTAGAAGGTCGACGACTGGTTACGTTTTCACAATTGATGGTTTCACATGCAGCTGGGCCTCATGACTACAACAGACAGTGGCAAACAGCTCGGTAGAGGCCAAATACGTAGCATTGGCAACAGTGGCCAGAGAACTCTTATGGGCCATGATGTTCCTGCAAGAACTGGATCAACCAGTGTTGAAGACGACAGGAATACATGTTAGTATCAGAACATCAAATATCCATTCCCATGATGGAGAGCTCACCTTCGATCAAGATGTACCAGTCCTACATAGTGATTCATTGGGCACTTGGGTTATAGCAAACGACCCTCAACACTTCAAGAGGACAAAGCATATTGACATAGCTCACTTCTTCCTGCATGACAAGATTGTGAACAAATGACTTGTGATTGCTCCTGTTCAGAGTTGCAAAAACTTGGCCGACATCTTGACGAAGCCACTTGCCATGCCAATGCTCTCACACATTTGATGACTACTTGGATTGATGATTTCATTGGAGAATGTTGGATTGAGAGGGGGTGCTGAAAATGATGATCCAATGAGACAGTAAAAGAATGATGCAGAGCCGATCTGATCAAAGATCAGATAGGGCCGATCCAGTTGAGCTACTGATTCGATTGTAGATTAGGTCAAGTTGATCTCAGGAGAAATCAGGTGCAACACAGTCCCACTCATTGTCATGATAGACCATGAAGTAGTAGTACCCCCACATCAGGCAAGTGCCACTCACATGTATATATAACTCACAGAGAGCACTAGGCTCTCGCCACATTCCCTCAGTCAATTGAGTATATTTTGTTCTGTCTTTTAGCAGCGACATCATACTTAGACTCTCCCTGATCGCCAGTATCGGGACCTAAACGACATTTATATTCAACAGTTTATAAGAGGATAAGGGCAGAAGAAAGGAGGGTCCGTGCAGTTCAATGCTCGCCTGAGTATTGACCTCGTTAATGACCGACGTAAATGACCGACGTAAATGACCGACGCATCGAGATTATCCAAATGGAAATTGCTGAATCGGCGATTCACCCATCGTCAGGCGTGTCGCTGTCTCAACGCCGTTTCTCTAGGCGATGGTATCGCACGTATCGCCGCTTGAACCGCTCTGTGATAACTTGGAGCCGACACAGCCGCTCGCCGCTGTCGCCTAGGATTGTGCACAGCACAGCCTCGCTGCAATGAGCGTTACCCTGGCATCCTATGACAATCGGACCATCCGAGCAGCACCGTCACTCTTCTCAATGGAAGCAGGAACGTGTGAATTTCTGTCGGGTGTACCGTTTCAACGTTGGCATTCACGCTGGCAATGGTACAGTGCCCGTTGCCACATGTGTCGTCAGTTGCACACGGAAGCAAGTTTTGAGATGAGATGAAAGCGAATCGCCCAGCCACCTCTGTCTCTTGCCGCATATGGCGTCAGAGAGTGGGCTCCAAAGATGCTTCTTGGAAAAGAAATATCTCATTTCGGGACTGCCCTTCCGCTGAGCGCCAGCCCAACTTGAGCAACGACGCCGCCTTTCGCTCCTCGTCCTTGGTGGCCATCTCGCTGCAGAGGTCTGGTTGTCGGGCTTGCCGATCCTCTTGATCTTCTCGGCGTGCAAGAGACGTGGGACTACAGAATACTGACTCGTCAACCCACATGCTCTCTTGAGCTCAAGTGGGCGATACGCAGCACAGCCCGAGTCGAATCGCACAATTCAGGGTTCAATGCTGATTCCTGCAAGCCTGACACGGGCAATTCTTTTTTTTCTTTTTTTTTTTTTTTTCTCTTTTTTTTTTTCTTCTTTTTTCCACAGTGAAAAAGCAGCAGTGGCATTCCTCACCGCTGCACCGTGCATAGTTCCACACTCTGACAATTCTTTTGGCGCCAATTTTTCAGGTGAAGCTACATAAGCCTGGGCCCTCGTCAGTTGCTGCTGCCCTGCGCCGCCCTTTCTCGCCTATTTTTTTTTGGTTTGGTTTTGTTTTTTTTTTTGTTTTTGTTTTTTTTTTTTTATATACTCTGCTGCTCCACACCTCGAACTGACTCTCACGGTTCTTTCAGCCTGGGAACAGTCGCAACACCCTCTCTCACAGAAGCCTACACGAACCTGCCTAGCTCCCCGTCGCGAGGAGCGTGTAACGATATCCAAGGCCTCTCATCGCTCTTGTCTTTGCTTTTCTCCCCACCATCCTTCACCTAGACTCGACCCAAGCTTGCTCCATCAGCGGCCAAGGATCGCAACCGCTTCGAGTAATCACGTCTTGCTCAGTTCCACGCCTGCTATTATCACATACGGCAATTTCGGAAGATCCGAAGATTCCCTCCAAGGCATCTCGTCACCTAATCACCTAGTCATCTAGTCACCTCGTCACCTAGTCACCTCATCACCTCGCCATTTCGTCACCTTATCGTAGCATCGGCACGTCCCGAAGGGCTCAGTAATTCGAATCGAAGCATATAGAAGCTAAGCTCTGCCTGATACGAAAGAGCGTCTTGACATCGTCTACCTGTCTACTCAGCCAGTCAGCTTAGGTCTCGTTGGCCATGCTCTCCGCCACCAACACTGCTCCTATCTTGCCACACACCAACCAGTTCGCCGTCCCCCAAGCCATTCGATCTACATCCTCTCCGTCCGGATCCTTGCCTACTCTCCAGCATGCTCGAGCTACAAGCCTAGACCTCGACCCTGGTTCGCGCACTCATAGCCTCTCCGCATCGCCATCCGCCCCTTCACACCTCCATTCGCAACTGTACCCACGCTCTTCCATTCTCATCAATCCTCGCAAACGACCTTATTCGGGTGTTATCTATGCCAACCCTGCTCTCCTCGCCGGCGCATCTACCGTAGCGGCACCCGTCGTGACTCACATCCCTGCTGTACCCTCCCGCAAAGAACGCGAAAAGGAGCGAGAACGGGCACGAGAACGTGACAAGGAACGAGAGCGCGAACGTGAAAAGGCAAAGAGCAAGGATGACGAAAAGATCTGGGGTATCCCCAAGAAGGCCCTCCTTCTCGGTCTCGGCGATCTCAACTTTAACGCACAGATGGCCATGATGGCTGGATGGGGCCATGGCAGTGGCGGGGCATCCATCTTACCGAGCACTGCAGTCACAGCCAACGATCGCACACGCATCCGTCCCTCGTCATCCTCAGACCTGCCCAAATCCGGTGCATCCTCCCTCTCTTCCAAACGCTCTGCACACGACAGCGACAGCGACAGCGACAGCAAGCCTGAGCACGACGGCAGACGGTACGAACGAGGCAGCAGCACTCCCAATGCCTCCAGCCAGAGCCTCGCTGTCTCGACCAACAAGTCATCCCAGGCTGAGCGCAGCACAGGCAATTCTCCAGTCCATGAGCCGATGGACCCAGAAGAGCTGGCAGCGCTCAATGCTATCATCAACACTCGTCGCAGTATGGCTGCAGCACAAGCACTCGTCAGTGGTTCCATCGCCCTGACTCCTCCCCATCTCCGTGCCTCCAGCTTTGGCAGCTCAGCGCAGGACCTCTCACGCCCACCACTTGAAGAAAAGCGCTTCGAATCTCAGGATTCCGTGCCTAGCATGAGCTCTGTCGGACACTCGTCTGCCAGCATCGGCAGCAGCAACTTGCCTTTATCTCCTTCCGCCGAAAAGGGTCTTCAGCCTCCTGCCTCCATTACCAGCTCAACATCCACAGCCGAGATCAAGTCGCCCCGCATCCGCTTTGCACCTTTACCCACACCAACATCAGCACCGTCCTTGCTCGGTAGAGCCTCCCAAAACTCTATCCATCCCGGCCTAGCAGAAGCACTGATCCAAGACTCGGAAGAGTCGGATGCCACTGACTCGGACTATGACAGCGACGATGATGCCAAGTCGATGAAGGGCAAATGGTACCTCATGGGCATGCCTTCTGCCTACTTCAAGCCCGAGTACTACATGGGCAAAAGCAACAAGCGCCGAAATGGCAAAACCAACAGCATCACTGGCTTTGGCGGAGGAGGAGATGCAGATGACAACCGTTCCGAAGACAGTCACAGTCTTAGCCGCAAGAGCACAGCAAGTCTCTCGGACGCTCACAGTCGCACATCCGAGAACGACGATGAGGAGCGTGGCAGGAGCTCTTCAGCTTTCAAGTCGAAGCGCAAGTCATCACACTCCCGTCGACGCTCCCGCAGTCGTACAGGCGCTATCAGTTCAGGCGATGAGGAGGAGCGTGCACGCAAGAGGGAGTTGATCCGTCGCGCACGACCAGGAGGTACCGGTATGGTCACTTTGCCGGACGGTACCAAAATTCGTGCTCGACGTGTCAACGACCAGCCTAGCCAGGCCGAGCCCGAGTTCATAGAGTGGGGCTTTGCAGGTTTAGCTCGAGAAGCTTCTCGCCGCAGTCTCGGAGGCGCAAGTGGTTCGCCTTCACTGGCAACGACTCCCAACAGTTCCGATGATCGAGGCCTGTCAGCGTACATGGAGGATAATGAAGATGACGAGGATGGCATGGCTTGGGTCCGCCGACGTCGACGGGAGAGGCAAGCAAAGGCACGTCTCGAAAGCGAGCAAGCAGACAAGACTGCCACCGACGCAGCTATGGCAGCACAGAACCCGACCAGCACTCAAGCAAGCGCAAACGTCGATCATGCCGACAAGACAGCGACCGACGAGGGCCACACAGCAGACGCCAGCATCATCTCGACTTGCGAACACGCTCATGCCTCTCTTACTCGCCCTAGCACTGCAGACACCGCCGACAACACCGTTTCGACCGGCATCACGGCTCCATCCAGTGTTGAGGAACCGATGCCCCTTTCTGCCCATACAACAGCACAGACCGAGAACAGCGACTACGCCGAAACTTCTGCGCCAGCCACTCGTCGTCAGTCACTCTTGACTGCCATCGACGCTTCGCGTCCAGCTGACGCCATGGTCTCGGACGGCAACGCATTCGTCAGCTCTCCCACCTCTGAAGAGCCACCCACACACAGTCTCGAAGCTTCCATGCTTTCTGAAGCCTCCAATGGCGATTCGGCTATGGGCGGCAGCCAGATCTTGAGTAGACCAGCTCGCGCCAGGGCTCTGACCGAGACTGGGGTTCCAGGTGACAGCACACCTCGCCAAAACACAGGTCTAGGTCTCACCGCAGACAAGGCCGAGGAGATTCGAAGAAGGCACGAGGACGAAGTGGCAGCTCTTGGAGCTGAGGTACTCGCTCAGACACGACGCAACAACCAGCGTCGTCAGGTCAGCGCCTCTAGTCGTGGCCTCAACACGCCTCACTACGACCAGGACTCTGCTGGCGAGCAGCCGCAACAGCAGCACCACCAGCACATCCATGCCTCTCCAGCGAAGAACAGCAACCGCCTGAGCCAAGCCTCGGTCGCCTCTCCACCGATGCTCTTCAACTCGTCCATCTTGGCCAAGTCGGTCTCGCGCGACTCTGGCTACGAGAAGAAGTCGATCTCGCGTGCTGTTGGCTCGATCATGCGCAAGGCAACCAATGACAGCGAGAAGACGGTTGGTCATTCAAACGTTGCTCCCTTCAGGCCTGCCCACGAGGTCGCGGCTAAGAAGCACGAGATCGCATTCCCGCAAATGTCGGATTCCGTCGAACGGGAGCGCAAACACCAAGAAATTTCGGCTGAAGCAGCCGACGCTGTACGCGGATCGTCAAGCACCGCTTCCGACGCAGCGCATGTCGGTTCATCTGCAGTCCGCAGCACTTGGCCCGAGAGCAACTTGTCGCGCAAGTCTTTGGCAGTGGGTGGCTACTCGGCCTCATCGGCCAGCAAGTCTGTTTCTTCGCTTCAGGGAGCTGGTAGCACACATGCGCCATCGCCCGTGTCCGGCAAGCGCATCTCGCTCGACCCTTCCGTCAGCACGCCTGTGCCATCGCCATGGCTGCCGCGTCGACCCGATGCCCGTGGTGTCTCGGTGGTCCCTCTCCCCCAGCTTGGTGTACGACCCGAGCGTCCTCGAGAGGGTCGCGTGTGGTTGTCGGACGACAGCGATGCTTCGGATGCAGGGGAAAACCTGAGAATAGAGCAAGCCGAGCAGGAGGAAGAAGACGACGCCTCGGACCTGGACGCCGAAGAGCTGCTCGAGGAAGAGCGCAAAACGGTGATGCAGAAGAAGCGTGCTACTACACGTGCAGCAGGGCAAGAGATTGTCCATGCACGCTTGGGCAAGAAAACCTCAGCACGAGCGCTTTCGGACTTGACTGCCTCGTACGACGACATGGCGCTTTCCTCTTCCATGTCGACTCGTCAACGCTCTAGACGAAAGCAGCAGCAGCGACGTAGCAGCATGGATCCTCGTATGACGTCTTGCTCGAATACATCTCGTTCGGCTGCTGCGCCTCGCAAGACTCCACCGAGACTTGTCCGAAGCCATCGATCAGCCGATGAAGAAGCTGTAGAAGAGAACGAGGAGGAAAATTTGTGGCCTGCAGCTTCTGCGACAAGCAAGTCAGGTACGCCACGACCTCGTCACATCCTGGTCAACTTGCCTGGAGGACCAGGGATCTGGGACAGCAAGAAGGGAGGCGGACACAATGCTGTTGCAGCCATCAACTCGGTAGCAGCAGCTCGAGCTAAAGCGATCAAAAAGCGAGCTAAGGACCGTCGTACTTCGTTCGAGTTGCCTCCTGACTGGGATGACGAGATGATGGACTATGGCTGGCCACGAAGTCTCAAGGGTTCGCTCTACTGAGAGATAGTCTTGACAATCTACATAGTATCCCACAACTCACCATTCACATATACTGAATACCCTTTTTCTTGCCGTACATGGGCTTCTGCTTCCAAATGATATCCATTCGGAAGCATCTTGGCCACGGCTTTGGGAGCTCGCAAGCGACCCAACTCGAGTTAGGCAATATAACATACTTTTTTCCCGCCCCCCCCCCCTCCGCCTAAATTTCTCGGCCTCCTTTTCCAACAATTTTCACGCCTTGTCAAGGGCGACAACTTAGGGTTATTGAGTAGGACAAAAGGAAAACGAAAAAGAGAAGCTCAAATTCAGCCAATAATTCCTGCGCTCTGCGGCTACCTTTGCGGTGGATGGAGGGGAATGATCTGCTTTGTATGCCGTCCGACTTGACTGTCTCTTCTTCTTCCACACCACCCACTACTTCTCACCAACCTCAGAAAGGACCCTCTTCGATGGCATATTAAAACAGCGGGCGACTGCAGCCCTTGCACTGATTGCAGACACCGCAGCAGCAGCAAACCATCACCACATCATTGCCTCAGGCTTGCCTTAAACTCAGGCTGCGCCCACATTGGATATGCCGCGTCGATCTTCATAGTGCCACGCCCACCACAATTTTGACATAACGGACGACAATGGAGAGTAGCAATCGACTAGCTGCCTTTGCTCAGTTTGGCGGTCCTTCGTCCGAGCGCACAGAGTTAAGCACTGGATCTGCACTACATCACAAGCTCTCGCTAGCCACCACTCGATCCACCAGCTCAGCCTCCTCCACATCTCATCGCAGCTACCCAGTTGCAGCACCATCAGCATCAGCTGCATCCTCATCTGCCCCACATCTCCGACCATCACAGCATCCTCACCCCCCCGAAGCACTCACCAACCAAGCCAGCAGCTCTCGTAATCCTTCAAATCCTTCAAAGCGTCTTCCTATCTACATCCGCATTGTCCCAAAAGACATCTGGCTACGCATCCATATCCATCCCAAACAAACCATCGGGTCGATTAAAGATGCAGCTCTCAACAAAGCTCAAGCCCCAGACCACGATCCTTCGCTTTCCTACCGGTTCTATCAGGATGCATTGAACGCGTCGACTCATGCAAAGATCGCTCCGGTTGCGAGCCATGATAAGGTGGTGAAGCATAGAAGTTATGCGCTACCAAGGACCTTTCTTTGTCCTCCCCCGGATTTGGAGGATGTGGCCGAGAGGGTGGCGGAGAGGCTGGTTGAGACAAGGAGGAGAGAGAAGGAAAGGCAGAGTGGGAGGTCTACGCCGGGGTCGAGGGGGACTGGTGTGCCGCCGCTGCCTGTTTTTGATGTTGGGCTTTTGCGGAATGTACATTCACAGGCACAATTACAGCCACATCAACAACAACGGCAGCACCAGCAGCAGAGTGCATCATCAGGCTCACAAACCAGATCTCTGCCACTGTCAGGATGTAGCAGCTCATCAGCTAGAACAGCGAGCGATGACGCTATGGCTTCTTCTTCAGCACATGTCACTCGACAAATCTCGAATTCGACTTTGGCCACTTTTTCGCCTTCAACCCCGTCTGATTTTGGTGCTGTAAGCCAGGTTTTAGCGTCTATTGACGATCCGAGCGAGGCTTCGGATAGATCGCATTCACAGTCTCAGGCGACGGTTAGTGAGATTGCGATTGATATAGGTGCGCCGCTCATTACCGGTAATCGGGATGCAAAATTGGAAGAGGAGATAGCAAGGATGCGACTTACGCAGTGGAGTACTGCATGGCAAACTTCATCTTCTAGCTACGATGCAAAAGGGCCATTAGCGTCTCCACAAACCTCGCCTCGAGCACTGGACAGCTACAACTCGACTCCCACCATCGCTTCGAGCAGCCAGTTCGATAGCAGCGAAACGGGACTCTCACCTAATCTTCCTTTCCTATCCAGCTTTGATGCGTCTTGCAGCTCTAGCGCTCACAATGCAGCGCAAAGGGAACCTCAGCACCGGACTACAACTCCCCCTCGCCGTCCACCGCGATCAGAGCAAAGAGCAAGCACAGCGGCAGCAGCTGCTCCAGCCATCTTTTACACCCAACCAGGGGCAGCAGAGTCTTTCAACTCGCTAGCATCACTAGACTCTACTTCTTCCGCCGAGTTCGTCACGACAGCTGATGATGAAGGGAGGATGTTGCAGTGGGGTACCCAAGCCGAAGGTACCCAAGCCGAAGGTACCCAAGCCGAAGTTGGTGCGGGTAGTCCAGCGAGATCTCCTCTTTCAGCTGCATTTTCGACCGCTTCTTCGCCAGTCAGACCGAGAAGTAGAACGGTCACTGCCGCAGATGTGATAAGATCGCGCAATGCGACGAACCAAGAACAGCCACCGCCGATGCCAGGTAGTGTTTCGAGCCCGTTGAGGATTTCTAGTCTGCCTCGGGCAGCAACGGTGCAAGGGCAGGGAGGGAAGATGGTAGCAGAAGAAAGTCAGAGGAGAGCAGTTCCCAGTGATTTGTGGGAGATGTTGAAGGGTTCCGCTATCACCAATTCCACTAGGAGGATCGGTGGTGGCGAAGAGGGTGAGGGCGACGACGACGACGACGACGATATGGCATTCTCTACCGTTCAGCAGCGTCGTACGACTGGTGGAGGAGGAGGCAAGGAGGCGCTTACACTGCGCAAAAAGTCTTCTGAAGGCTCAGTTGTAGCTGGCCTCTCTTCTCCCTCTTCCACTCACTCCACCACTGCAGCTGGTGGCGGGTATCTAGCTGGAATACGACTCGACGAAATCTCTCGTGGATGGTCAAAAGATACCTCTCACCCACTCTCGGCCAAATTCGCAGTGCTATCAGCAGCAAACGGAATGGAAATGGAAGAATGGAAAACTGTTGCTTCCTACCAACTTGGTCCTTTCGAACTTCTGGAATTGCAATGGTCAATTCCCACGGAGCGAGTCTACATCCCTCCTGTTAGCTTGCACGATATCATTCGTCCACCACACCCCACCTCCAACAGCGGAAACAAAGAGATGTACAATCCCACTTGCTCATACTCAGACGCGGGCCCAGACACGGACTCAGCGTGTCTCGAACCCTATTTCGAAGGCTGGGTCTACGTGCTCAAGACGGAAAAGGGGAAGAAGATGGGTAAGTGGAAATTGCATTTCCTCACGGTGAAAGGATGGAGGGTGGATCTGTATGGCAAGAAACCAAGGGCGGGGGAGGCGGTTTTGCCGATTGCAGATCAGCTTTTCTCACTAAGAGGTATAGAGTGGGTCTTGGAGAGTGAAAGTGTTGTGCCTGCGAGTACGGCTTTGCCTGCGTTGGAGACGCTGCCGGCGGGGTGTTTGAGTGTTGCCTTTGCTCCGAGGGGTGAGGGGATGGCAGGGACGATGGTTGGTGTAGCAAGCACAACAGCAGGCAGTAATGAAGGATCCCTGTTGACGGTTAGGTGTATCAATCCGTTCGATCATGATTCGCTCTCGAGCCTCTTACTTCGGGCATGGTATAGGAGTAGTGCGACTACCTTGGGTGGTGTGGATATCTGGCGTCGGAAAGCAGTGTTCCGAGCAACGGTGGCGGGAAGAGGCGGGACGGTTGCAGCTGGTAAAGCTGGTAGGGGAAGGGGGAGTAGGAATAGTAAAGCGAGAACAAGGTTACGCCCCTCGGGATGGGCGAGGGAGTGGGAAGATGCGGATTTATGGTCGAGCGAGAGTGAGAGGGAGGAGGTTACTCCGCCGCCAGAGTTGGTGGTGAGGCTGGAGGGGGAGAGGGAGAGGGAGAGGGAGAGGGAGAGGGAGAGGAGAGTTACAGTGACGCAGGCGAAAACGGAGAGGAAGAAGGAAGTGGATGAAAAGGGTTTTGTGACGGGGGGGTTGTATGCTGCTCTCCTCGGAAGAACTGGCGCTAGTACCACTGCGGTGGGTGAGAGCGCGGGGCAAGATAGTTGGCCGTATCAGCAAGGATCAACTTCTAGACAGAGGATGGGTAGGCAGCCGCAGCAAGAACCAAGTCTAATGCTGGGGTTTCACTCTCTCCAAGACCGCCGCCGAGGACGCCAGAGATCAGGTTCGCTCACTCGCTCTTCCGACCCCCAAGAAGCAACGGGAGCAGCAGGGGATACTTGCACCAGTGGCGCTCGATCTGGCTCAGTTACAGTATCAAACACAAGCCCAGGTCGAGGTAGAAGCTCCAACTGTTCAGCAAACAGTAGTCGAAATGTCTCACGAGCTGCTTCTCCCCCGGGTGCGGGGGAAAGGAAAGGGTATGCGATAAGTCCAGCTTTGGTGCCGGGGTTCGTGGATGCTCCACCCGCACCCAGCGTTGCTTTGCTGAGGAAGTACAAGGCTAGTACTAAGGGCACTAGTGGCAAACAGGATGATTGATGGTCCTTGCAATTCAAACTTCTTGAGCGTGTATATGTTGAGGTACTCCACAGGCTGGGGCAATAGAGCGAACGGCGGAAATCGTTGTCATTACATAAGGACTAGATACAGCAATGCTACGAGTATATATGCTTTACTGTGAGTGTGTGAAGGCGAGGTGCCACACATAACTGCATGGTGTGCTAGGATGAGATGAGCTGGGCTAGGGGCCGTTGGTCATGTGATTTTACTGTCCTCCTTGCCAACTGAGTGCTGAGAGGGTTGGAGGTTCGCCATGCCAAGGCGCTGGCGAGTGCATGTAAGTAGGTGCTGGGACACCAGCTTGGTGAGGTAATCAGCATCATTGTTGTCTGTCCTCATGTGTCATAGAATGATGTCACCTTCCAAAACGTGGTTTCGAATGAGGTGGTATTTTGTATCAATGTGCTTGAGTCTGGAATGAAGGACCTGATCTTTTGCCACTTGTATGCACCCAGTATTGTCTGTGAGTATAAGTGATATGTGGTCTCTGAAACTGAGCCTGCAAAGTAAATGCTGGTGGAAAAGAGCTTCATGTGTGGTGGTCAATCCTGTGACATATTCTACTTTGACTGCTGATTCCAAGATGCACTTCTGGATATGTAAGTTCCAGGTTACCACACTGTCAAAGACCTTCACAATTGAGCTGGATGTGCTCCTCCTGTCTGTATTCAGGTCCAAGGCCCAGTTTGAGTCCATGTATGTGGTGATGGCAGGTTCATTCCCATCCCCACCACCAAGTCTCAGAACCTCATTCTGTGTCTGATTGAGGTACAAGATGACCTGGAGCACTGCTTTCATTGCCTCTTCCATGGGTCTGAACATGTGGTGTGCCAGGGCATTGATGGTGAAAGATATATCCAGTCTGACCATATTTGCAATCCATAGTAGTTTTCCTACAAGTGTTGGGTACCTGTTCTTCAGCTTCTCATTGACCTTTGAATCTGGGGGTGCCTTCAGCAGGGTGTGAGTCATGGGGGTCCATGTTTTCTTGTGCAGTCAGATCCATTCCTTGATGATCTCCTTTATGTATGCCCATTGATCCAAATCAATTGTCCATTTGGTGTGGTCCCACATGATTTTGATCTTGAGGAACTCTGTCACTGGTCTGTTGTCAGTGATCTTCCATTTACCAATGATTTCTCCCTTGACTTGGTCAATCTGGTTTCGAGATGCCAACATGATGAGCATATTGTCAATGTACACTGCAATGATCATCTGTGTCACTCCAGCACCTCTCAAGTATATGCAGGGGACATTGGGCAATGGGAAGAAACCCAGGCATTGTAAGTGCACATCCAATTCCTTATGTCACTCTCTGCCAGATTGTTTGAGTCCATATAAGCTCTTGACCAGTTTGTATACTTTATTGGCTGGCACCTCTGCACCCTCTGGCAGCTTGAGGTAGATGTGGTGATGCAGCTCTGCATTTAAATAAGCTTGCATGATGTCAATAGAATCAATTTCCCAGTCAAATCTGGCTGTGATCACCAGCAGGGTCCAGATGGTGTCTCTGGGTACTACCAGTGCAAAGATCTCATCATAGTTGATTCCCTCTCTTTGAGAGAAACCACATGCACAGAACCTGGCCTTAAACTTGTATGGTATATTACTTGCATCCATCTTCACTTGGAGCACCAGTTTGGAATCTACAAGGTTCACCCCCTCCAATCTGTCCACTGTTTCCCAGATGTTCATACTCTCCAATCCATCCATTTCTGCTCTGATTGCTTCATGCCAATGGATTTGGTCAAGTCCATTCAGAGCTTCCTTTACCAATGGTTTGAGGTTTGTGGCTGAGATTGTGTAGGCATTAGCATTGTATGCTGGAAGGTCACTGATATCTGCCAACTTGCTGTTGTGTCAGAGGTTTTCTTGAAAACGGCACAAGTGGGAGCATCCTTGGGTATGCTCCAAGCAGTATTGCAAGTGTCATTGGGTGTAGCCAAAGGAACATGTTGTGTGTTGCAGCAAATTTGTTGTGGTAGTGCTGGGCTGTTTGCATCAAGAGATGTTCCAAGAATGCTCTGTCCTGGATGCTCTGGTTGAGTTTGTTCAGTGGTGGCAGTGCTTCTGATGGTGTGGTGAGTCAGTATGTCTTGTCTATTGAGCTATTGGATGCTCAATCCAATGGTGTGGTTGATGGATTGGTTTCCAATGCATTGTCAATCCCTACTGCCAGATATTCAAAGATGGTCTCTGTGGGTCTGGGGATTGGTATATTGTTTTTGAATGCTGTGTTGGGTTCCAAAGGTGGTTGGTAGATGTTGTTGATAGGTTGTTGTAATTCCTCATTGTGTTCATCGACTTTGTCATACCTTAGGTCTTTGATATCATCCATGTCCTTGTAGTGTAATGCATCTGTATCCTGGATCAGAGTTGTGTCTGTGCAATCATTCCATGACATGTCTTGCAGGAAATGTGCTGAGTTAGACCAAAAGATCAGCAGGTTATGGCTAGGTGCCAAGAACTTCCACCCCTTGTGCTCCTTGTCATATCCAATGAATATGGCTGGGATTGCTGGCTCATCCAGTTTCTTACATTTTGCTTTTGGTATGTTGACCCAGGCAAGGCATCCAAAAGTTTGGAGTAGTGCAAAGGGCTTCCTTGGGTCTCTATCATAGAAATGTGATAGGGTACTTGGTTGTTGACATTTGGCATGATATTCTTCATGAATACAGTGGCTTTGGCCACAAATGGCCAGAATGTTTGGGGCAGGTGGTGTGTGCACATCATCATGATCATCATTTCTTGGATTGTTCTGATGGTGCACTCTGCCTTACTGTTCTGCTCACTGGTGTATGCTGATGTCTTTTGCCACCAGAACCCAGCTTCATTCTGCCAACCAGCAGCTGCTGCAGAGATCCATTTGCCACCATTGTCCAAGCAGAGGGTCTTAAGCTTATGACCCATTTGTATTTTGGCATAATGAATCCATTCTTTCAGTGTCTGTAAAGTGTCTGACTTTGCTCAGAGTGGCTTCACATAAGTGAAGCTGGAGGTGTCATCAATGGCACCAGTAAGCATGTGAATTCAGTCTTTGTTGATAAGTGTGTAGTCAGATTGATGTGTATGAGCTCCAGCAGATGCTTAGTGCATGCATTGTTACTTTTGCTCATTCTGGCCTTGAATGACTTTCTGACAACACAATCTTGACATTCATTGCCTGGAAGCTTAATGTTATATAGCTTCTCAATGATCCTTGCCTTGTTCCAGCCTGGATGGCTGCACTGTTTGTGCATAAAGTCTGGGGTGAAGGAGTGCTTTGCAGCCTTTGCTTCATCATCAAACATCTCTGGCAATCCAGATAGCCTCTCATCTGTGCACACTACCAGTGCTTTGTGCTTGAGTTCAGGGAATTCATAATATCTTGTTTGTGGATTGAGGTCACTGATAACAATTGTGCCATCTGGGAGTGCCAATGTTGCATGTTGGTTGTCAAATATTACATGTGCACCATTGTTCATCAGGGCCTTCACCAAGATCAGGTTTGCATTTGCATCTGGGACATGAAGTACATTGTTCAATGGTACTTCATGGCTGTTTACATTTAGCATAGCCTGACCTACTGCCACAATGCAAATTCTCATCCCACTAGCAGTCTTCACAAACCCAGTACATGGAGTGGAAGAAGTGAGATTGGATTCATCATTTGTGATGTGATCAGTTGCTCCCAACTCCACAATCCAGGTGGTGGATCACTGGTCCAGGGAGGTATGGTAGGCAAAGGCAATGGTACATAAAGTGTCCTATGCAAATGTTTGACCTGGGTAAGGGGGTGTTGCCAGCATTCCCTCCTGGGCCTTCTTTGGACAGTACCTGGAGATGTGGTTCTCTGCATTGCAGTGGTAGCAGTGTTGGACTCCATCAGGTCCTGGCTTACCATGGCAGTAAGCTTCTTCATTCTTGACTTGTCCTTTGGCTAAATTTGCCTGGGCTGACCTGGTATTGCCAGCTCTGTGGTCTGTCTGGGCAGTCATGCTGTCTTGTTGCTTGCACAATGCAGCACAAAGTACTTCATAACTTGATGCCATTCCAGTGTCTTCAAGTGTAATAATGCAGTGATGGTAAGGGGTGATGTATCTAGCCTGGTCAATGAGCATTTTCACTTTGAGTATTTTGGGGAGGGCATGGCCCATGGACTCAGCCTTAGCCCAGTGCTCATTGATGTCTGCAATGAGCTTGCAGATGTTGGCTTGGAACATGTGAATCTTCCCAACTTTGTTGAGCAGGGTTGATTTGGCAATCTTTTCCATTTTTGTAAGGTCCTTCTTTAGCTTGCAGTAGAGACTGTGAAGTTTTCCAGGGTTCTGAATTTGCAGGTTGTACAAATAGGTAGTTGATGTTGTTGTTGCCAGCAAGCAGGGCACTGCTTTGGAGGATAGTGCATAGCTTGCCATTGAGGGTGTGATTGTACTTTTTGTCCCCAGGGGCCACAGTACCATTGAGGTGCTTCATAGCTGCTGGCCAGTTAGACAGGACTGCTCTGAAGCAAGGGTTCCAACTGTACCAATTCTTGGTCATTAGCTTGGGTGCCTCCTTGAGTGTGTCATGGGTGTGCAAGAGCCTTTGATGGAAATTGGAGTGGTGGGATGGTTTCTTATATGCATCAGAGTCTTTTGCTTTGTTGCATTTGGTGAGTTTGATGAGCATGCCTTTGAGCATTTCTGGGTTTAGGTTGGAGATGGTGTCAATGTTATAGTGTGTCTCATCACTGTTGTTATCAATGTCATCAGAGTTGTATGGCAAAGGGGTCTCTGCACCAATCAGCATTTGCCTCTGTGACATGGTGGGTGCCTTTGCTTTGTTTGGTCCATCAGATAGGTTGCTGCTTTCAGTGTCAGAGTTGCAAGTTTGTGGGGGCATATTGGATCAGCAGTTTTGTCAAAGGCAGGCCCTTTCTTTGGGTGGCAGATGTGGGTGAGGGTATGGGTTGGACAGCATGGCAGAGTGTGGCAAGGTTTGGCAGTATTCTTTCTAGTGGAGCATTCAGACTCTTAATCTGTTGAGGTATTCCACAGGCTGGGGCAATAGAGCAAATGGCAAAAATTGTTAGCATTTCATGAGGACTAGAGACAGCAATGCTACAAGTATATATGCTTTACTGTGAGTGTGTGAAGGCGAGGTGCCATGCATGACTGCATGGTGTGCTAGGATGAGATGAGCTGGGCTAGGGGCTGTTGGTGGGCAATAACATGTGCTAGTGGGAGATGACAGGTGGCAACAATGAACAAAGTTGGCAGGCACATTAAAGCATGAACGTGACCACGCAGTCATGTGATTTTACTGTATGGTGTGAGCGGTCTGAGTGTAGCGGAGAATGAATTGATTGTGCGATCTTGAGGAATTAACAGTGTTGGCAGTGCTGTCAGAATGATTTGGAAAAGGGACGGATTTGTGTGAGTGTTAGATTTAAATTCGCAGAAGCGCCCACACACTGAGCGAGTTTGCTCCTATTTCACTTTGCAAGCCTCTTGACTCTCACCACCATCTTAACCAGCAACACCATCCTCACATCGGCTCTTAGTCTGACTTGGTGGCAAAAATGTCGACTGCAAAGCACTACACCTCAGCAGCTGATGCCTACAGCACCACCCCCACTCAGCACGCGCAGTCTGGAAACGATTCGTTATTCGACTATCCCGTGCGAGCATCCGTGGATCAGCCTTCTTCACACCCCACTAGCAATCTTCCCATTGCAGGTTCGGGCGTATATGATTCCAGTACAACCAACGCATACGGCTATGCTCCAGCTCCCAACCACGATGATGATGTTGACGACGACGAGGATGAAGATTGGAACGTATATGACGATTTCAATATGACTCGACCTGTGCCGCATCGTAGGTCCACTTCCGGCTTGGCGAGTCAGAATGATGCCTATTGGGATGCGTCCAAGCCGAGTCTGGTGGGAACGCCGTATACGGATGTTGCAGGAAATAGAAAGTCACTTTTACCGAGTGAGGCATTTGGGTTTGATGTCCGAAATGCTGATCCTAGGAGGTCGATTATCCAGCCGAACAGCGTTGCCAATCGGAACAGTCACTATTCCAACACGCTCAGTGGCATGGGACCTCAACACGCCGACTCGACGACAGGGATCGAACTCATCACCGTCCCCGCCCTGGGCAACGAATACACAAAGGAAGAACTACGTGGAATGACTCGAGGTTCAAAACGAAGACGCAAAAGAAGCCAACGCAGAAAGAGATGCCAACTATGGGTATCAGGTCAAGATCATATTTGCGGTTGGCTCTCGCCTCGGCTTGCGGTCTTGGTGATGTTTTTCATCCTGGTCTCGCTTGGTGTGATGCTGTACTTTGTTATTCCTCGAGTACCGACGTTTGCAATTCTCTCGACTAACCCAGTAACAGCAATCCCCAACGGTGCTTCTATGAAAGTCAACAGAGCACCTACAAACTTTTCAATGGATATGGGCTTCAATCTTCGTGCAGATAATCGTGCTTCTTGGATACCTACACATGCTCAGCATCTTCAAATGGAAGTTAGCGATCTTAACACATATAAGCTCGTCGGCAAGGCAAGTATGGATGCGATTACCTTTAAGGCTAGGAGTAGTACAGTTTTTCAGTTTGCAGTACACTTTAGTTATGCTAGTCTGAATGTGTCAGGTGATGAGACTTGGCAGGATTTTTATACAGCTTGTGGTCCTAATTATCCAGGTCAGAGTAGGCCAAGTTTGAATTTAGCTGTCAAGTTGACTATGCGAATTCGAGGCTTGATAGGCAGCAAGCAGACTTATACTCAGTTAGGCGGTGTTGCTTGTCCCTTTACGCTACAGGCTTATCAGTAGTGGAGAGTGGGAAGGGCTTTTGGTCTGTATCGACGTTCGCTTTGGGTTGCTATTAGGGACAATTCTCATTCACTTTTGCATTGCTTCTTCGGGTGTGGCAGTTTGGTTGGTTGCGATTGTGTGTGATTGTCTGAGAATTTGGGTGAGCAAGAGAGGTGAACATGCGAGATAACGGCTTGGAGTTGCTTTGTCCATGTTTAGAGTCCAAGCGATCGAGAGCTACCTTAGTGCTGCTGGTTCGAGTCTTTGAGACTCCACACTCTGTCGGCTTCGACATTGACCTCTGCATTTCCCATTTGCCTTAACAGCGTCAATTCCCAGAGTATACTCTGTCCACTCTCCAACACACGGGAATTATGCAAGTTGCTCCCCAGCGCATCGTACTTGCCGTTTCTCGATCTATCTTGTAGATCCAAGAGTGCAAGTTGAGAGTCGGCCGAGGCGGATGTACTCTGTTTTGCAAGCAGGTGGGCAATCAAGGCGAGAAGCTTCTTCGGTCCACAAGTGGCGGTGGGAGCAAGGTGCAAAGAGATGATAGCTAACCGTTTTGCGAACGAGGCAAGGATGCAGGGTGAGAAGCGCGTGTGGGACTTGATTAGGATTGCGTAGAGTGAGTCCAGAGCAAGATCGACGATGGTTGAGCTGGTGGCATTGGTGGAGGCAGAGGTGGCGGTTAGGTGCGTTTCGGATACGAATGGGAGGAAGAATAGTACGTGATAAAAGTGACTTAGCAGGTCGCTTAGGTCGAGCTTGAGGATACTGCCTTCAATTTGGCCCAGGAAGAGGTCGAAAGTGGTTTTGAGCGAGATTATGATGTGCCTGATCGTACGGGTTAGGTTGGTTTGGTCCAACAATACATTTCCGCCTTCTTCGTCGTAGTCGGAACCATCTTGGTCGTCGTTTGGCTGTGCTGAATCGTCGAGCAGAGCAGAATTGACTACCACATGATGCTTCAACACATTCAACAAATCCCTGAAAAAGTCGACGTTGACTCGATGAGCAAAGGAGCTCAACCCCATCAAGACACTCTGCAAGACCCCTAGGCCGACACTGCCAACCTCTGCCTTCAAGACGGTGAAATACAACACGAAAAGCAACTTCAACGTCTCGGTCTGATTCCTCTCCCTCTCCTCGAAATCCACCGTCGCTTGCGCTTCTTTCATCTCTTCTTGAATCTCTTTCAACTGCTTTTGCTTCTTGACCTGTTTCTTGGAAAGATGGGTAGCAAGACCTTTTCGAACAAGTTTAGCGTTTGCCTCTTTGCCGCCGCCTTTTCCTTTCTTCTGGCGGGCTTTCATGGCTGCTCGTCGCTCAGCATGTTCTTTTGCAGCTTTGGCCGCTTCGGCTTCGGGATCGGTGGAGGCGGTGGTGGAAGATCGTTTGTTGCCTAACTCGGAACGTAGACGGAGGTGAAGGAGAAGATCGAAAACGCGAGAGTTTACTTTGTAACGTCTTTCTTTCGTCATTCGGTGAATGAGACGGACTACTTCCAGAGATACTTCGCCCGTCAAATCGCTCAGAATGACGGATTTGATCGCTTCGAAACATCCTTCTTCATCCGAACCCCAAGTCCGGCGGGAAAGACGGGAGATTACAACACCAAGGATGTTTTGTCGAAAGTTGAAATGCACCGCTCTCGTAGCTAGGGTTGAGAAGATCTTGACAGCTACCTTTTCTAGCTTTCCAACTCCGGGAGCTGGTTTCTTGCTCTTCATTGGAGTAGCGGTTGGATTTGCCGCTTTGAGTTCATCTTCGCATAGTTCGAGGAAATCGCGATAAACAGAGACAAGACCGGACTCGAACTCTCTCCTGCGCGCAACATCCTGTCCCACCTTGTCCTCCTGCTCCTTTTCCGTCAAACTCCGAATCTTATATCCTGGTAGAACATCCACAAATATCGCCAGCAGAGACAACATGGCCAGCTGCCGAATCGCGGCTAGGACTTCAATCTTGGTCGGCCGCGCGAGATGTGCTTTCCCCTCAGCTTTGAGGCTTGCTGCTTCGGCGCGGATCTCGGGAATCTTTTCGGGTGGTGCTGAGATGGTGGGGGATGCAAAGACGGCAAGACGGCGGAGCAAGCCAAGGTTGACTTCGGGGTCGGCGATGACTTGGGATGAGAGCGAGGCGATTTGGTTTTTTGCGAGGAGGAGGGTGGATTGTTGGGCGGAGAGAAGGGTTCGTTGGTAGTGCAGCTGGGTTTTGCGGGGCCAAGTGGTGGAGGGTGGTGCGGGTAGACGGGATGTGTGGGAGGTGAGCAGGATTTCGTAGGGTGCGGTGAGGTGGAAGCGGGAAGAATGGGTGATGCTGGAGTGTGGCATGGTTGGGCGGGTGGGGATGGATGGTTTGGTGTCCGAGTCCGAGTCGTCTGCGGTGGCGCTGGCGGGGAGAGGGGCGTGGACTGCACGGCTCTTTGGCTTTGAAGAGGAAGGCTTCTCTTGGTCATCCGAGGAAATGAGTCCATCCGGTTCGCTTTGCTGTCTGTATTCCTCGCGATCCTCTGCTTCGTCGTCGCTGCTATCTGGACCTTCAGAGGCTGAAAGATGGCCGTCAAGTTTACGAACGGGCAACTTTGCATTAGCTCTTTTCTTATGCTCCTGCTCCTCGTGATATTGCTCTCTCGCCTTCCTCTTGCACAATCTTGCAAGGTATGCTGCTTCCGTATCCTCATCCTCCCCTTTGTTCTTCTTGTTGCCCTTTACCGGTGCTGCCACCTCCCCCTCTTGGTCGCTGGAAGAAGAGCCAACCTCTTCACCCTCGGAAACATCGCTGTATTCTTGGTAGTTCTTCTTCTCCCTCGGCATCACCTGCGCATCCTCTTCCATATCCTCGAAATCCTCATCTGAAAAGTCTTGGTCATCGAAACTATGCTCGTCTTCAGACATGGGCTGTGTCAACTTTGCTTTCTTCTGAGCAGCAATCCTCTTGCGTGTCTCATCAAATTGCCTCCTATCCGACCGTTTAAGATCTTTTGCCTTCTGCTTTGCGACCTTTTGGGAGATATCGATGGCTTTGTTGTTATCGAGGCCTGAAAGGAAAGCTAGGTTGGCTGCAGAAACGGTCTTCACCTCTGGCTCCTCCTCATTGTGCTCCTCGTCGTCGGAAGAGGCGATTTGAGAAGCTTCATCTGATTCAGGCTCGTATTCGATCTCTCCATTAGCTGCTCGAGTTGGCTTGGAGGAGGATGCAGCGATAGGCGGGATAGGATCGTTGTCGGAATCTTCGTCATCGGAGCGTCGGATGTACATGTCTAGCTGGGCGGCAAGCTTTGGAGCAGGTCTGCGAGAGGGTGCTCGTTTGGATTTGGTGGCTGGCTGTTTGGCCGAAGAACCGGCGCCCGAGGACGGGGCTGCTTTGCGTTTTGGTGGCATGGTTGTCCGCCTCTCCAAAAGTTGGTTGGATCAGAGCAGGGAGGAGGAGGAGGTGGTGGTGGGTATGATCGTGTCGAGCGAGGAGGAAGATCAAGAGGACCCTGAATGGTAAAAAGACTGAGAGGGAAAGGGAAAAAAAAAAAAAAAAAAAAAAAAAAGGGTCAATTTTGCGAAATTTTTGGAAAAGTATGGAGGCAGTATAATGCTTACATAATACCAGTCTCGCTGGACCTTGAAGAAAGTGCTTTTCATCAGCACTTGTGCTACCGCCAGGATCTCGTCCGTAGCTACAACAACTACACAGCAGCCACAGCGCTGCGTAAGAGGCGAGGAAAGATGAAGGTCGACATGTTCGAATACACCTCGCTGTTCACCTGGTGGTGGCTGCCCTCGCTCGGCTCTCAACTCGTCCTCAATGCGTGTTACTCTCTTCAAGTTCTCTCCATGCCTCAGAACCCGAGAGTGCGCAATAACCACATTCAACTAGCTCGAACGGCCGTCATTGTCGGAAGGCTCCTCTATCAGCTTCATGGGTTGATCACCACCTCTCCACCGAATTACTATCAGCTGCTAGCGCTCCCACTCGACGTTGATTCGGACGGGGT